AGACATTTATAATGTTACAAAAGATTTCTGTTTCAGATAAATGCTTTCTATTCATCAAAGAAACCTGAACAAATTCTACTCAGCTGTTTTCAACATCATAACAATAAATGTTTTTTGAGCAGCAAATCAGAATATCAGAATGATTTCTGAAGGATCATGTGACTGGAGTAATGATGCTAAAATATTTAGCTTTGAGATCACAATAAATTACATTTTTAAATATATTCAAATAGAAAATAGTTATTTTAAATAGCCTAGTTTAAATTTAATATTTAAACTAAAATGTAATATTTCAAACTTTTACTGTTTTGCTGTACTTTGGATCAAATAAATGCAGGCTTGGTGAACAGAAGAGACTTCTTTAAAAAAACAATAAACTCTTGCTGTTCAAAAACTTTTGATTGGCGTATAGGCAACTTTAATTGTTCTCTAATTTCTAGCTTTTAATTGACTTAGAAATCAGATAACTGCTGGACAATAACCAATAATAATGATTTGTTTATATACTACAAACACTTTTTTTATCACATAAGGCAGAATAGTTTCTATACTGTAATAAATGCTATGTCAATTAGCACTGCATTATTCATATACTTTATTTATTACCTGGCGATGACTTGACAAACACAAATAAACCATATATTGTCGCAAGCGTATGTTTAATGTCTTCATGTCTCCAAACGTTTCTGTTTTCTGTGAAAACAACTGTTTTCATACAGCGATAGCTGGACGCTTTTGTCCATATTAGGAATTTCCTCGCTCTTGAAAACCTCTATGCGAATACACTTGCCCGAAAAAGTGCGGGGGACGAATTTACGTGATATTAAAAGTGGGGGGGGACACGTCCCCCGCGTAATCTACGCCCCTGCATTATAAACGTAAGCTACACATCTAAATCTACTATGTAAATCACCTTGGTCCTCAGGTCAGCAATGAAAATGTTGGAGCAAAAATTGACCTGAATCAAATTCCAAAATTGACACTTTTCTCAATTACTTCATTGCAGCAGCCAGCAACCAACTCAAACTAGCTGGGCCGAATTGTCTGTCACAAAGGTACTATTGAGATCAAAAGCATCAGGCTCTAAAGAATTCAATACAATTCAATGTGTCTGGAGGGTGCGTCCACTCCAACCCTCTCTAAAAGACGAGTAATTACCTCAGAGCCTCAGTTCCCAAAAGCCGCTAAAGACAACCTATCTGAAAAGAACGAATGAGAATCTCTGTACGTGGACGAACAAAAGTGCCATGATGCTCCTGAATTTCTGCGGCTTCATTTATTTTCTTATTGTCACAGAGAAAGGAGCTGCTCCTAGCTGACAAGAATATCGATGAGCAGGATGGGTACATCCTAACCTAAAATCTTCTTTCTTTTTCACGGGGCACTAAATCACAAACTTATTTCATCTTTTTTTTAAATATAATCCAAGATGTTCATTTTATAAATGCTCTTACAAGGTAATAAGGAGTTACTCAGGCATACCGCTCTCATGAATTATTCAAATCAACAGTATAGTTCTTATCTGAGAGAAGGGTGGCCTAAACGCAAAGAATTACACTGAAATAATATATGCTTTTAGAAAGTCGCAGACACGGTGCAATCCTTGCTGACTGGATACAAGCTAGTTCTGGCTACAATCACGGTTCATGGTTACACCACATTTCCTGCTTCAGTGGTTCTGTGAAACAGTCCTCCCAGAGAGGCTCGTGAGATAAGCACAGATCCTCACACTCCTCACACGTTCAGTCCGACTCGAATGAAGCGGCCCGCTTTTCACCTGGCAGTCTCAACGCACACATGCAAACCAATTAGTCCTTGTGGACTCCCGCCCACACACAATATGTGCTCATGACTGTGCGTGCACACTTAAAGGAATAGTTCACTCTGAAATGAAATTATGCTTAATTTGTTGCAAACTTGTATGCTGTTCATTTTTAAATGTGGAATACACACAATATTGTTAAATACAGTGTACAACATAAATAATTGTTACACAGCATGAAAATATTTAAATAAATACATACATAAATAATTATTTTAAGAAATTTTATTCGGCGAGAATGCATTAAACTGATCAAAAGTTACAGTCTAGACAAATTTATATTCATAAATTAGATTTTACATTCACACAAAAAAATCTATTTTGCATATTGTTCTTCTTTTTTATACTGTACATCAAATAATCCTGACAGAAATGTAGCACAAACATATTTCAACATTGACAACAATAATAAATGTTTCTTGAGCTCCAGATCAACATATTAGAATGGTTTCTGAAGGATCACGTGACACTGAAAAGTGCTGAAAATTCAGTTTGCCATCACAGAAATATTAAAAAAATATATAATAAATAAAATATCTATGAAAAATAAAATAGAAAAACTTTATTTTAAATTGTAGCAGTATTTTACACTATTACTATTTTTATTGTATGTTTGATCAAATAAATGTTTTGAGAGCATAAGACATTTCTTTCAAAAACATTAAAAAAAATCTTACAGACCCCAAACTTTTGAACAGTAGTCAGGCATGTATAAATAAATGAATAAATAAATAAATAATCTTTACTAGTGAGTCACAGAATCATTCAATCAAATGATTCTTTTCTAACACTGATTCACTCAAGAACAAAGCAAGTGACTGTTTTATGAGTTAATCATTGAATCATTCGCTCAAATGATTCATTTAAAAAAAAAAAACTATGATTCAGTCAAGGTTCATTTAATAACTTTTGCCACTATTGTGTTGCTCGTGCCAAAGCCAGCTGAAATGCGCAGCTATTCAGAATAACAGATTTTGCTTGTGTGATATTACCTAAATTAATTAATATTATACATATTTTAAAAGTAGTCTAGGCAAAAACTTCCAAAGCTATATAATACGTTTTATAGAAACAAACTAAAATGTAAGTTATTCCGTTTTTAAATTCAATACAACATTCTTTTAAAGTGCAGTGTGTCATTTTTGTGCCTCTACCAGCACCGATCACATGCCCTGGTCATCTCTGCACATTAAACCTGGACATAACAACATAAAAAAAAGATTACACACTTAAACTTTATTGAGCATAATCACACAGCCCTGAGTCACAGGACAGCCACCCCATTTAGCTGACCTTGCAGCTTAATTCTTCTATGAAAGCCGTGCAGACTACTGATGCTGATCGGTGAGGTTGCATTATTTATCAAAAACACCAACAAATGAAAACCCAGAGCAGGAGCCAGTGAAGCTGGAGTTGTGTCAGCTCAGAAGGGAATTATAGCAGCCCAGGGATAATCATTCCTCAAAATCTCTACAGATGCCTTTGGAATGCAGCCACTTTAGCATCTCCAAAGGGGCATCGGCCAGCAGCAGCCACGACCGAAGAATCGACCAGCAATACTCCGGTCCGACGGGAGTGCTACCTTATTGAAGATGAAGCAGAAAGGAGGGAACGCAAGCTGGGAGGTGCACAGCCTTCGGCATTTTGTCAAAACAACTGAATGTGCAAGAAAATGTTTCTTAAAAAAAAAAAACTCCTGATAGGATGTGTACATGCAAATTCGTTTTCTTTTTTCACTCGCCTCTTAGCAGAACCTTCAGTGAGGTGACATGTATATCGTCCCCCTAAGGCGGCAGCACATATCTGAGGCAGGAAAAAGCCAGACGTAATAATTTCATCTGTCTTCCAGCAAAGGAATCTGCCAGCATTTCCTACAAGCAACAACTCTTTCATCAGACAGGAAGTTGCATTCCACGACAGAGGATGCATCAGTGACTCCATGCGCCAAAAACACACAGCGGTGGGGCCAAACACACTGGCTTTGAGCCTAAAACAAACCCTGCAGTTTTACAATATCCCATCAGTCCTCCAGGCAGGCACTGAGCTGTCAGATATGAGGAGACGTCTATGCTGGCAGAGACCTTCATCTCTCTACCTGCTTCAGCAGATGCATATTTAAACCAAACACAAGCTTTTTCTACAACATTTGCAATTCCGCAATGGCAGATCAGGGAAAGAGCATTTATATGAGGGAAAATCAGCAGCTAACACTGCTTTGATTTCTGCAAATCTTGACAGTTTGGATCACAACATATAATTTTTCATAAAGCACATATAATCTATGAATCAAACCCCATTAGTGTGATGGAAGACGTGTCCACACGCTTAATTGAAAACAAAAAAATAATGTTGTATCATATTCTAGTGCTATACTATATATATATATATATATATATATATATATATATACAGTACAGTATGTGTATGGTACAGTATACAATATAAATACAGTATATATTATAATTATTATTGCAATGTATACATATTATTACAATTTAAAATAACTGTTTTCTAGTTTAATATATTTTCAAATGTATTTATTCCTGTGATGGCAAGGCTGAATTTTCAGCATCATTCTTCAGTGTCACATGATCCTTCAGAAATAATTCTAATATGCTGATTTGCTGCTTATTAGCAATGTTAAAAACATATACAGTATATGTATTTGTTTATATATGTATTGAAACATAATATTTCTGTGTAAAAGGTGATACTTTTTTCAGGATTGTTTCATGAATAGAAAGTTCAAAAGAACAGCATTTATTTGAAATAGAAAGAAATTGTGATATTATAAATGCCTTTGCTGACACTTCTGATCATATTGAATAAAATGTATTTCTTTTAAAAAAATGACTAAACTCACACTTTTGAATGGTGTACTGTATATGGTGATTAAAATGCTGCGCTCATGGAGTGAGACACTAAAAAACAGCAAGACATAAAAAACATAGCATAAAGCTATACACTAACATAGCACAAATGCTAGAACATGTCCCAACAGCCCCTCAAACCATATAAAACTTGTGATTTTACTGCCTCTCCATAACATATGATATGATGATTAGCACTCTTTGCTTGAGAGTTCATCTCGGGTCAGTCTTATCTGATGATAACAGCTCTATCCATTTTCTAATCATGCAGCTAAATAATGTTCAATCAGTTATTGAGGGATTGAGAAAGGCTTTTGATATATCCTCAGTGATCCAGCATGAATCTGATGCCCAGAGATAGCATGCAATCACATAGCATACAAGCCACAGAAACAAGGAACGTGTTTCAGGACGATTTCTCATCATACTAAATGCTACTGAATAAATACAGTGCAATAATATGGTCCACACAGCTAATAAACACATAAAACTACATAATTTTACATTAGGAATTAGCATTACTTAACATACATGTATAAATATGTTTCCTGCATCAATACCCTTAATTGTGTATATTAGGGCTGTCAAAATGGCTGAAAAACTAAATTCGAATTTTGTACTTATATATAAATAAAAATTCGAATTATATTCAAATTTAAAATGCATAATTTCAGTTAGGGTGAAGAAAAGCTTTTGGCTTCTCTCCTGAGGCCACAAGAGGGCGCATCGAGCAAAATATTACTAATGCACGTTTATTCAAAGCATAAGATAACATGACTATCTGTGAAAAAATGTGCATAATGTTTAAAATAATGTTTATAAACCAATTATAATTAATTAAGTTGCTTAACAGTTAAACTCTGCGGACCCGGATATGGGTCCAAAATCGCGTTAAAAATGTTTATGCTTCATTTACATAGCCTTCCTTATATGGTATCAGCCCATATATGGGTTAATTTGAAAGCTTGGAGTGTCTTCTTTACAAAGAATACCATTCCTTTTTATATTCATAAAGCAGTACAATTAAGCTTAGAAATGTATTCGTCCCACACACGAATTTCCGCCTAACCATTGCGAATAATTTTTACAAAGAATGTGTATTTTATATATTTTTCACAAAAAAGTGAAGTCATATCACAAGAAAGCTCTCATTCTCAGGAATTTGACGATGTAGATTATTTCATTGTGTGACAATCACAGATCGAATGATCTTCGATAGAATCACGATGTAAAATTTTGTCACCTCTGAGCGAATTTACATTTATACTCGTAGCACTGCTTCAGTCAGCCGCAAACAGCCACAAATATCTATATACTCTATATTATCTTTTAGATTAGGATCTCTTTCAAACAAGACAATTTTCACGTTTCTGCGCGCTTCCATCGGTGAGATATATAGCGTTTTGTCCAGGTTCAGAAATAGACGCGCGTCTGGAAACAGGAGCTCTTCATATCATAGGCGCGCACAACCAGCGCGTCTGATGTTATAGAGATCTGTGTTCGCTTGTGGACTGCAATTGGTCAGATTACATGTCTCTCAACTCAGCGGCCATTTCAGAGCCGTGAAATTTGACACCTCTGCGTCACTAGAGGGGGGAGAGGGGGGTCTTCACATCCAGGAATTTACGGCTGGGTGTTTTGAACTCTGTAGTTTATGGACTGTATGTTTTGAAGGCGAGATTCCCACACGGAAAGGGTTCTGCACATGCGGCTCAGATAATATCAATCTATGATAATCATATTACAAGTTATATATGGTGAAAAACGTTCAGCGGTGCCGTGGAGAGGAATGAACGCGCGTCTGGTAAGGCTTTATGAGCGTGTTTTTGAGCCGTTTTTTATATTTGAATCGTTGTTTTGAAATGTAAAAGCACAGCTAGCAATCTGATACACTGTTTAATGACAAAAGTACAGTATATTATGCATTTCAGTGAATATACAGTAAATATACATGGATTATTACAGTGCTGTGTGGATGAACTGATTTGTGTTTGTTTGACGCTCTGAATGTTACAGATAGCTGCCGGCTAGCAAATTAGCCCTGCTCTGGACCAGGGATGATGCAACCTTGTTGTCAGAGAGATGCTCTGGATACAGGAGTGAGTCAACTGATGAGGTGAGAGGATGCTGTGAAGCAGTATCCCAATACAGAATGCATATAAAGGGAATGATATAAAGCTGGAGGATATGGATTCTATTTTAGATTGTGATAGACCAGATATATTTTATAATGTAGACAGTCTTGTGCATCCTGAAATAATTAAACATTGCAGAATACACAATGTGTGAAATTTGGTCTAAATTCACTTGTGTCATTTTGTATATTACTACTTAGAAAACATAAAAATGAAACATAATTCAATTAATAATCAATTAAAGTGCTTATGGCACAGAGTAAAATAGGATTGTGGGGTTAATGTGTTTTATAAAGCCTGTTTTTGCAAAGGAAACTCACAATGACACATTTAGATGCAGACATAGACAATTTGACTCGCTTCACATATAATATAATAACTCCTGTTTAGAAGCTGTTATTTGAAAGATTCTTTTTTCTAGTACTTTTTATTTTAAATTGTAGCAGTATTTTACACTATTACTATTTTTATTGTATGTTTGATCAAATAAATGTTTTGAGAGCATAAGACATTTCTTTCAAATGTCTTATGGCATCTAGTGACATCAAACAAAGTAAATTGCAGAGAGCTGGACCTAATAGAACCTGAATTACAGAATTTCAAAAAAATAATTTGTTTAAAAACTCCAAAAGCGCCTATGTTTTTTTGTGTTTATTGTAATATTTGAAAAATATATAATGTTTATGTTTTTTTCAAAGTTAAACTTGCATTAATTTTGCATGGCTTTCTAATCATGCAGCTCCTTTGTGCAAGACGCGAGTGCAACAGTGATAGATGTCCCTCGTGTGAACGGCTTGGTTTCAGTTTTGATGTAAACCAGATCTTCTCTTTATGAACAACGCAGCAGCGCCACATCTAGTGGCTTCAACTGGATAGGTTAACAAAAACATTATAATGCAACGACACTTACATCATCATCACATCTCATGCGCCACTGATAAATCTACCTCCTTGACGCACACCTAAAATTATATATTCGAATATTCGAAATTCAAATTTTTTTTGACAGCCCTAGTGTATATAGAATTCTCTAATATCCCAGCTTGATATGCAGAGTCAATTAAAATCCATTCATAGGCTGTTTCCCCATTTGAGCATCAACCAATAGCATAAATTTGGGCTCCCTGAATGTTCTCCGTCCTAAAAATATCCATAACTGATGGGTCTTATGTGCGATGACATCCTCTTGCTCACATACACAGAATCTCTCTTTGTTCCCACATTCGTGACCCCACAAGGAGAGGGCTGATATTTCACAGGATGGCTTCCTCACAAACACATCTATTCATGAAGCATGTGCACAGCATGTCTGATGGAACAGGCTCTTATTGAACAAGAGGGTGAGGGGCTAATGCCTCACTCGCTCCTTCCTCTTCATTTAACAGTTTCTTTCTTTAAAGGTGAATTGTGTCATTTCTGCATCACCAAATGGAATTGCAAAAATAATGACTGTTTTCAAACCGGTTTCCCACTATTTTCCCTCTATAGGGTCTTAAACCAAAACATTCAAGTGAATCAAGCTACAAGCTAGATATAGTAATTTCTACATGTAAAAGAAAAACATCCAAAGTACATGTTTAAATGTTTATTTTATTCCACTTTATCTATTTGCATATTGATTTTATTTAAAATAACATTTAGTCAGAAATCTCTACTCCCTTACATACACCAAACTTTACAGTTTCATTCCTATATTCTGATGGTTTTTATAGAGAGGTTTGTTCATATATAATTTCTCTGAATTGTATAACATTTTATTCCTAAAAACATGTCGATTTTTTTTCTGGCAGTTAACGGTATTTTCAGATTTATGGAGCGATAAAAATATATATATTTTCCCTCTGTAACACCAACTCAACAAAATGTCTATCAAGTATTCGGATTTTTGAAAATATATGCAAATGAGTGCATATTTAATTAGTTAGTATTGCATGTGCATATTTAAATATATTATTTCAGAAAACTTGCAATACACAATTTTCTTAATGTACTGTGATTAATCAGATGGAGAAGTATGACATTATCTGTTAGTTGGAACATTTTTACCCTATTCACCCATTGTATCTTGCCTTAAGTATATTAACAATAAACACATTTCAGCTTCAGTAAATCAAATTAAATTCAGGCTCCATTAAATTTCTCATATGTCTCTGCTCCCTAGATTGATTCATGAGGAATAATGATGGACGTTATTCTAAAATATATTCATAATGTTTAATCAAAATATATTTTAACTTTCTTTTTTTTGACGCATGGGTGGAAAAATATTAACCAATTATTTGATGGCCATTCAAATGAATAGCAATTTACACTACATTTATTAATTAACATACTTTTAATCAGAGTGACTAGTAAACCAAGCAATTTGTCATAAGAATAAACATTACTCATATACCCCAAAAAAATGATTTGTTTTTTTAAGTTGTAAAATAAAAATTATTGGACAATTTCAGTCTTTCTAATTCTGTTTCAGTCTTTCTGTTGGACTATTTCCAGTCTTTCTTTCTTTTTCTTTGTAATTATTTGTGAAATTTACAAGCAATTTCTGAGTGAAAATTGTTTAAACACCTTTTTTTAGTGTAGTATATGATGCTAAATTTAAAGACAGGTTTGTAAACAAACTAAATCAGAGGTGAATTGCAGAAAATAGCATAATTTCATGTTTTTTTTAATCTTCCTGCTTACTTCCCCTTCCAACATCGACTTTTTTTTTAATCTCCAATTTTCCTCTCCTGTCTTTTTCCCCTCTTCCTAGTCTTCAGTCTTATTCTCTTAATCTATACCTTGAGGGACTCTTTCACATTTACTCCTGAGAGCACATGAAGGTCTTTAGCTGTGGCTCCTGAAGCCTGACCCAGTTAGTCAAGCCTAAACCTCATTAACCAGTGATGGGAGTATATGGACCCGTTCCATCAGAGGCATCAGGGCTAAAGAGAAAAACCACAGAAGAATAATAATGTAGTTTAAGGTTTGCCAGGTGGGCTAATGAGTTACCACAAGTCAATGATCCGACCCCCTCGTTCTGCCCCGAGATCCCTGTTCATAAGTGAAGCCACGTTCACGGCCCCGCTCTGCTTAGCTTAGCTTAGCTGCTCTGCTCCAGAGTCTGGAGTGCTCAGTGTGCGTGCTAAAAGAGGTGTCTGTGCATGCTAAGTGCATCTTGGGAAAACTCTCAGGGCCGGTGATGTCAGACAGAAGAATTTAAACATCAGAATCCAGAGTAAAATGTGACTAATGACATAAAGAGAGCAGTATATGTATTGAAAAGCTCCTCAGGTCTTTCATTGCATGACATGATATTTGAGATGTATGCGATGTGTCGATTTATCAAATGCTAAAAAGGTAAACGCGCAGTATGTTAGCTCTCCATCTTGGATGACAGTCATGTAATTTAACACGGCCCCGCTCTGCTTAGCTTAGCTTAGCTTAGCTGCTCTGCTCCAGAGTCTGGAGTGCTCAGTGTGCGTGCTAAAAGAGGTGTCTGTGCATGCTAAGTGCATCTTGGGAAAACTCTCAGGGCCGGTGATGTCAGACAGAAGAATTTAAACATCAGAATCCAGAGTAAAATGTGACTAATGACATAAAGAGAGCAGTATATGTATTGAAAAGCTCCTCAGGTCTTTCATTGCATGACATGATATTTGAGATGTATGCGATGTGTCGATTTATCAAATGCTAAAAAGGTAAACGCGCAGTATGTTAGCTCTCCATCTTGGATGACAGTCATGTAATTTAATAAAAACTAGTTAAGCCTAAAAACAAACCACTTGTTGAGACTAACATCGGTAAGTTTCCGGTAACAAGCAATTTGTTTGTCCATACTGAAAGTAAATTTCACAAATTGTCACAATTACACATACATACACACAATTATAGAAATATAATTTTAAAATATATTATAATATATATTACAATATATTATATATTAATATTATAGAAATACAATAAATATAAAGATTATTATATTTTAAATATATCAAATATAAAATATGTGTATCACAAAAATATAAATATACTATATTTAAATAGAATATTATATAAAAATTAACATATTTAAATATAATATTTAGTAATATTAGGTTATCTAAAATTATAACCTAATGATTATTTATCAATCAATTTTATGTCAAACATTTTAATTTTTTCTGGTTCATTCATTACACTGGGAATGAAAGATTACACGTATTGCATTGTGGGTTATATTATTCTGTGCCGTGTGCTTTGTTGTATAATGCACAATATTGCATCCTTCCATCCACAGTACTCCATGCATACAGAAAATTTACATTCTGTGCACAATATGCATACTACATAGTGTAGAAAGATTGATAAACTAGCATACTATTGCAACACAGCCCAAACAAAAAATGCTATTAAAAAAGTGCAGTCACAACTGGTCAAAAATTCACAGCGATTTTACCTTTCTCACACTCACGCAGTGCTTTATTGCATCTCGTTAGGACACAGTGTTGCATATATTTTGCAACATATCCAAATAATTTAGGGTATTCAATAGTTCAAAGTATATTATCAATAAATATTGCAATATGTTAATAGTATAGATACATAAACACTCCATTGCCTTCATTTTGTCATCGAAAAGATCCACGGAAAAGCATTTTGTGTTCTTCCAGTGTGAACATCTAGGGCCAGTTTTACTAACAGCTTGCGCCAGCGTTAAACTAATACTGTCAGGATTTTACGAAAGACGCGCAGTGATGAATTAGCGCTGAAAAGGCATGGACAGTTATTTTTGTCCCTGACCTTACTGAATATGCATTTGTAAGGAGTTTCCCTTTCAGACGCAAAATTTATGGAGGGAGAGTATGAACCAGGCAACGAGATTTACTAACGTTTGCGCTCGTCAAAGTAGTGGTATTTTCGCCATTATTTAACGCCCAAATAAAGCGTGTCTTAAACTATTTTGCGTTTGAAACGGCTGCAAATATTTTTGCTAAGAGGAGGCCCCGCAGAGAACAGAGAGCACATGGTAGAAGGGGGAGGATTTTTTCCACACGTATTCATTTATTTAGAAAGCAAGAAC